TAATGACAAAGACCCTAATGAGGTTCAAGATTGGCTTCTGATTGTACCAAATCCGAGTTTATTGAGGGAGCGTGGTAGTCCAAAATCCAATCGAATTCATTGCGATATGGATATTCGAGAAAGATCTAGACAAGACAGAAGATGTGGACATTGTAGAAACCCATGACACACTAGAAAAACATGTCCACTTTTGTTGCCATCAAGTAACAATTGATGAGGAAATGATGTATTTGTTTATCAAATAATAATTCTTGTACTTTAATTTGTATTTACTTCAAGTTAATGTCATTCGATAATCGCTTATGAAGATTAAAAAAATGATACAATAATACGAGATCCGACGTTTGCGTCATATGTGATTATAATAAAAGAGATAATAAGTGACAAACTTAAGAAAGTTATCGAACACAATCATTAAATTTTATCAAACTGATAACAATTTGGTATTTCAAAATAATTTTAAATACAACAAACTTACAATAAGTATTAAATGGTAAATGATAATCAAATTACAATAACTGATATTAAATGATAATAAACAAAATTAACTGAAATACATTAAAAAAGTCCAACAAATTTAACAAAATAAAGTAAGTATTAAATGAGAAATAATAAAAAATTACAATTAAAAAGTCTAATAAACTAAATACAAATATAATAAAAAACAAAATCTATCGATGCATGCGACGCGAATGTGTTCCGCAGGGCGGTGGCTGTCGGTCTCGAGAAGGATTTCTTCGTATCACTGGTTGTGATTCCTCGCTGTCATCATCATCACCATTATCGTCATCGTCGTCGTCGTCTTGAGTAGACACATTAGGTTGATGAGGAGATGATGACGATGAAGCACCTCCATGGAATAAGGACCATGGAGGTGTATGACTGACTATCCCACCGGCCTGCGAAAACTGGGAAAACTCATAAAACCCAGATATCGCTGAGTGTGAAAACTGTACAGGAGGTGTCTGTGCTGTGGCCATGGGTGATGAGGCTGAACCCGCCAAATATCCAGTGTAAGAACCCCAAGTCGGATCTGCAAACATAGATCCATAATAGCCTCTATGAGGGGTCATCTGTGACAGTGGCGGCGGTGGGGTCATAAAACTAGGTGAAGGTGGCGGCGGTATCTGGTAATAAAAATACGGTGAAAGCATCATATATGGCTGTGGTGGCTGCTGTGAAGGTCCTACTGGTGCAACTGAGAATGAACCGGAAGCACCTACTCTCCGTCCACGAGTCGGGGGACGATGGTGCTATGTCGGTGAACGTCTCTGTCGACGTCGCGGAAAGGTCTGCCCTCGTGCATCCTCGGGAAGCATAAACGGTTTCCCGTTACTATTGAACCACTCGTAATAACCGTCAGCAACCATCAAGAGGTCATCAAAAATGGGCTCTCTACGGGGAAGGCGCCGATGTCGATCATCCCACAACACGACCCACAGATAATGCCTCACCAACCAATCTATATCTTTCTTACCGCGTCTATCTGTGCTATGCAAATCGTCCATATTGCGAGGTGTTTCCGGAATTGGTTGAAAACAACCAAATTGCCGAAGCACGCGATCAGTGGAGTGCCACTCGACGGTCGCATAACAGATTAAGAGGAACATCGCCATCCAAACATCTGATGGGCCCCTCAACTCAGGTGGGATCACCGCCCTCATATCATCAGTAGAATATGGCAGCCATTCAAACTAAAACAAATATATATAATTTTTATCAAAATAATAATCTAATTATATAACTATAATCTAAAATCGATTTTTAAACATTAAAATTCATATATGTATGCCAGCCTTCTGATCGATGAGCACCCTAATTTTTTTCTAAATCATCAGGTAGTTCCTGATGATTTTTCCTATCAGTAGACCACCTATTCGAGGAAAAAAATTATTACACGTTGTATATAATGATTAATATACGAAATCAGTTTTACAATTACCTCAATAGTAGTGGAGATACGAATGGGTTCTTGACAACGGGACATAAAAAGGACAATCGATACCATGCCTAAGACTGCAGCAGCAGGAGACATCCGCCGATAGCATTACGCCTGTAGTCAGTGGCTCGACACATCTCTCTGTACAGGAAAGCCAAAATTACCGAGCCCCAACTGAGTGATACAGCCAGATGAAAGTCGCCAAGGTGTCGCAACCACATGCAGTGAACTTGGTTGCGCGATTTGTCCGGCATCAACAACCCTCCTATTAGTTGCAGTATACATGCCCGTGTATACATTTTAACTTCATCCTCAGACGCGTCTTCGCTCAATTCACGAAATTGGCATCTAACCAATTTAACGGTATCCGACCACCGTTAAAATTTTCTGGGACACGTCCTAGATTATCCCGACACAAAGCAGTCCAGGAACCCTGCGCGATCCCTGATATCACATCTCCATCCACAGGAAGCCCTAGGTGAATAGAAACATCCTCAAGTGTAATCGTGCACTCTCCGCACGGAAGATGAAATGTGTGGGTCTTCGGCCTCCACCGCTCTACTAAGGCAGAAATCATGTCTGGCTCTATCTTACAGTGACTCTGATATCTACCTATGTAACCGAATCTAGCATCTACTAAATACGGCAAGACACGGCTAGGTATCACTAACTTAAGATTCCTAATAAAAGGATCTAATACACGATCCTTCTCCTAAAATTAAATAATTACAAAATTAATTCTTAATCTAATAATCATGCATTAAATAAATCAACAAATTATTACTAATAATTTAAATTAAATTAAAACGTTAAAATGTTACCGTATCAACAAAGTGTTGAGATATATGATTTGCATCCAAGAGAAGTAGATCGTCTGCCATTTTATATCTGTAAAAAAATTAAATAAGTAAAATATTAAATAAATTAAATACTTAAATAAATTAAATACAAAACATTAAAAATATAATAAAATATACCTTAGAAGAGATTATAAGAGTATTTGAGAGAAGTTGAGAGAATTTAGTGTGATGAAAGTGATTGAGGATGAGGGTATTTATAGGGAGGTTTGGGGGTATTGAAGTCGGGATAGTTGTGTAATTACACCTAAGGCGCGCCGCAGGAGGCGCACCTTTCTGACGCGTGTCAGATTCACAGGTAAGGCGCGGCCCCTGCCCGCGCCTTATGTGTAATTATATACTTACCCCGCTTTTTATCCACGTGTGTCCATGTCAGCATAAGGCGCGTTTTAAGGGGCGCGCCTTACCCCACGTGGCGCCAAATCAACATATAACGCGGTACAGGAGGCGCGCTTTACTGCTAAGGATGTTAGATCGAAAAATATAGTCTGACCTATATTAAATCAGTAAATATACCAATCACCAGTGATTTTTCAGAAAAAACGCCAACATATACTATATTATAATTATCCAAATTACTAAAGAAACAAAAAGTTGATTACCCCGGGTAGTGTCCTCATTGGGCGATCATAAATACATTCTTGCAGTAATGTTTCGACCTTGAAGCAAAGTAATGTCGGATCCCCGCATTTAAGTAGGCAGCTATCGTATGGTGTCTCTGGCCTCTGTCTTTTCGGATGATGGCCCATGGGTGCGATTAAGTTCTATACCCACTTGCCGAAATCATATTCGGCTAATACCATATCTAATTTGGTCCATGAGAATAATTTTTTCGGGTTGTTCTGATTTAAGTCATTTCAATTCATCTTATTGTTTATTAAAAAATTATTAGATTATTTTGGATTTTGATAACTTTGTGTTCATGTCATTTAAAGTTAAATTATTTCATGTATATACGAACCAAACGATTTTAGTAGTAAAAAAATTATTGTTGTTTCAAGCATAAATAATACCATAGATATAAATATGTAAGGTCAAATAATTGAAAGTTATCTTTAAACGTATATTGTATTGTGCTTACCCCATATTAATCAAAAATTATTTCATATATGAGTGAAATTAAATTTTAAATTATTTAAGTGTAGATCAATTCAAATTAAATTGTTGTATTTTAAAGGTTATCGCATTAATTATATTTGAATTGGATTTATTGGACGAAGTTTTGATTTCAAGTCGAAAGTAATGACTATACTGCATCACTTTGTATATTGACTCGCGATCGCTTTGGGAAAAAAAAGATAAGTAGGTAAAATATTATGTTCATTTACAACATTGACTGTTTGATGCATTGCATCATCACATAGTTGTTGAGAATTCTAGCGCAAATCCAAATCCTATAATTCTTGGTGGAATCGAATATGATCACTATCTTATTTTCAAAGTAAATACAAAAACAAAAGCTGGCAGGAATTCCCTTAAACCCTGCAGATCGGTTGACAGTTCAAAATATAGCACCGCCACACCGTCTTCCTCGAAACTGAAAATAAATTTGCGGGTAACGGATTTTATCAATAAACATTGTCACAGGACAAAACATGCAAGAATAGTAATGTTTAAAGCAGATTGTGCTCATTTTAATGAAAATGAAGCGTGACTTGGGTATCTAGAAAGTTTGTCTACATGAGAAAATCAATCGCAGTATCATTTGTTCTGACGTATCAACATCCAACTACGTAGATATCTGTTATTATCTCACAGCTGGCCACCTTACTAATGTAACTTCTTATATCCAGTTCGCTAAACCGGGGGGGGGGGGGTCATAAGCTGAATAATTACAGGCTTTTATACCAAGCAAACCAATTGTCTTCACTCACTCAGCACGATCCCATGTTTGACTCTTCGGTTTCAAATGGACGAGTTTTGTGCATAGAAAGCCGGTTTAAGTTCATGCCTAACAATTCAAGGTGGTCGGATTCATATATGGCTTCACAGACATCAACAGTATGTTAGAGATCCAAATCCTAGCATACAGTTGGTATCATGATATTAAGCAAAATGCAAGTTCAAGTGAAAATGAAACACCAAATGTGCAGTTGGAATCATACTACGAAACTTTCATTTTCTTTCTTTGTTTAAATTACATAGCTAGCTAGTTAGGAAGCGCAACAATTGCAGCATTTATTCCGAGTTAGAATCAATTCATGAGGGTATGCAAGGCAAAAAAGCTTACAAATTTTGTATGGATAAAGCTACAAAATTCCAACAAATAATCTTACCTAGCAACCATTAGACTCTCACTGGCTTTTGTAAAACAGCAGAAAGATAAAGTTCAGGTTTTCCTGATCCACCAGCATCTATCTTCTCTCCTATAACCCATTTCAGCTTCTTATACCCGAACTTTTCGATCAATCGAGTCAAGGTCTTCTTCTTTTCATCATTCGCACAGTAAAAATTATCTAACCAAAACAAGCCGCCTGCCCTCAAGATCCGATCTATATCGAACATCAAGAACTCCAATTTTTCTGGTTTATCTCCAACATCTAATCCGCTTGTCGCGTGCACCAAATCGAACACATTATCATAGAAAGGGAACCTATGGTCCAAACTCAAAAACAAAGGGAAAAGGCCTCTTGCAGCAATGAATTCAGCATAGGGTGCATCAATATTAAGGGTGTTAGTAATGACAGTCACATTTTTCTCAGACATTCTAGCAGCAAAAGTCCCAGACCCACCTCCAATATCGAATCCTATTCTGATCCCACCACTCCCCATAGCCAACACATCATCAATAAGAAAATCATTCTTGGTTCTAGTCTTGATATATTTTTGAGTCTCATTAACCAAATCAAAGCAACCAGCACAGTCTTTACTCAATTTTTTATTATTCAAACAGTTGAAATTCTTGCAACCAAGTCCACTCCAAGTCAAAATCTTTTCCCCAACAGGTTTCCAAAGAGAAGCAGGTAAAGAAGTAAGGCCTACCTTAGGAACAGTCTTGGCAAAGCATCTCCTCCTAGGCAGAGGCTCACATCCCTTCAATATTAGCTTCTGAGCAAGAATCCAATCATCAGGACAAGGTCCAAAAACCTTGTAACTCATGTACTGGGACAACAAATCAGCAGATTTCTCACAGGAATGTCCCACAGAAGCCACCATCTCGGTGATCCCTGTTCTTGAATCCTTCCCCAAAGGGAGCTGATGGTGTTGAAGGAAAAACTTGAGCTCAGTTGCAAGATTGGGTCTTGAAAGATCAAGGGTGTCATAACCAAGGAGCTGTTTTTCCATCTGGGCAAGCTTTCTTTGAGAAGAATCGATCTCTTTCATAATCAAAGAGACATGTTGAGAGATTAAAGATAAGTTCTTGTGGGGATGGTGAAAAGGGTTGGGTATGTTTTGTTTTGGTGAGTAAGTGAAGGCATATAAAGCAAAGAGATTGGTGATGATAACAGAGAAAAGCATGAGAATGTTAACAGCAAAAGAACAAACTGTGGCTCGCTTGAATCTTGCTGTTCCATCCCCGATCTTCAGTGAAACCGAACCCATCCTGGCTTCGCTTTGCTTTTGCTCTTGAAGTGAAACGAGCAAACAGGGGGATGGGAAATGGGTCCTTCTCGAGGTTTAGATTTGTCAAGTGGAGCAGGTTGATGCTCTTTTGTTCTCTTTTTCATTGTTTATTCATTAGAGAAAATTTAGTGACTGATTTAATTAATCGAGCCAATAGGGCTAGTATAGTAAATAAGACTAAATAAAAAGTAGTTACTCGAGTTTGATTTTGTTGTAACCAATTTTTTTATGGGGAAATCGACTAGTTACGACCGTAAGATATTATGAAAAGATTTTCATAAAAAATAAAAATTTCAAGGTATGATTAGAACATCTCAAATCAGATAATTTTAATAAAATATTTTTATTTTATCAAAAACAACAAATTTTAGTCTACAAAAATAAAAAAAAATCAGGTTCCGGAATCAGTTAGGCGTGGAGAAAGATTAACACCCCACAGTGTCCAGAAATTGGTACCCAATCGATTATCCTATATTTAAAAATTAAAAATTTTGAGTTTGACATTTTATTTAATTCAAAATTCATTATGTATGCAAAGTTTGGATATGGATGTCGGTTTATCAAGACCAATAACGACCACCTTCAATCATTTATGCAAAAACTTCGTTATTGATCATAATAAACAAACAATGCCTTGAACATTAAGAAATCATGACATGGGGTTTTGAAAATGATGTTGATTTACTTCGAGAATTACCAGTGATCACCCCCAAATCATAACGCGAAGGATAGACTATTAACCACATAATAAATGAACATTATCTTGTTTTAAAATCGAATTATACAATCAAAAAACCATTTATGAACCTAATTATACTAGGTGAATTAATTAAGACAATTCCTAACTTAGAGTTTCAAATTATGAAATTTAAAGAACCTAGAGGGCTAAACCTAAAATGCATACTCTAATATTAATCCTAATTGATTTTATCAATTATTGAGTCGAATAATCAAGGTGAACCCTCAGGCATTTAATGAGAGAACCAAATTGAATTTTCCTTAAATTAAAGGACTAAAATGAAATTAAGCCTAAATAGAGGTTCTAATTAATAACCCTAATTAATTTTAACCAATTATTGAATCGAATAATTGATTTTAACTCTCGGGTATTTAATACGAGAACCAAATCGAATTATTCCATAAATTAAGGGAGTAAAATGTGAGAAATCTAAATCTAAAGAATAAATTCAAAGTCTAAATTAAAGGGGAATGAAACTAAAGAATTAACCCTAAATTTTACTAATTAAAGAACAGAAACTTAATGGAAAGTAAAATAAAGTAATTAAAATTAATATAAAAAACCACAAACAAGCATTTAAATACATAAATAAGAAAATCTAAATATATAAAAATTAATAATACAAATTTAATTAATTCCTAATTAATAATTAATAATTTATAAAGTATGAATTTAATAAACTAACTAGTAAAAGGGTTAATTAATAATACAATTAACTTAAGGTATAAGATGCAAAAAAACAACAACAAATTGAGGATCAAATTTAAATTAGAACATAAATACTTAAATTAGAGACCAAATTAAAAATAAACAGAAATTGAGCATTTAAATTAAGACAGACTAAAAACTCAAATTAGTTACCAATATATACAAACACGCTAAAACTAGGGTGATTCAAACATAATGTTTTTTATTTTTATAAACGTAGAATTTTCTAATAAATAAAACTTTTAAAATTATCAAAGCAGGACATGGTATTCGAGTTAATATCTAAAGTATCACTAGAGGTGACCAAGATGTAATTTTGAGCTAAAAGTACATGGACCTAAACACAATTTTACCATTTCGATTAATACTAACATATTCACAAATATATGAGTCAAATAACATGAATAGCATCTTATAAAAAGATGCTTAATATACAGGGGTTTAAAACAAATTAATCCTAATTATTTTTATATAAAAACCTAATTATAATAAACCTAAATTTTCTTAACCCTAATTCCTCATTCTCAATAGCCTCTCACTTTGAGAGTTTATCTCATCTTCTCTCTTTTCTCTCGACCGAGAGCCCTAAAGGCTCTCTATTTCCTCGTTGGTCACCGCACCGTGGTGGTTGTGCTTGCTTCGACCACTCATAACCATAAATGGAGCATAACATAGGTTAACCCAAACACCTAAAATGCCTCCATTCTCCTTTTTCCTTTGTCTTCACAAAACAAACCCACAAGCAACCAAAATCGTCGCCTTTGTTCAACCCGACCACCATTAGTGGTGGTCAGACACCCTAACTCTCACCAAAAACAGCTGAAACCCATTCATTTCCCTTTAAAGCCCCTATAACCAAAACAAAATAATACCTAAAAGGCTAAAACCGAATCCTAACTGCTTGCATTTTTTATTCTGGCAACAATGATGGTTAGAGGTTTACCTCAAAAAGGCGAGGCTCGACGACGTGGGATGAGTCGAAGAGACCCCACCATACAAGTCGTCGTTCCTTGGTAATGGTGACCTCGCTTGAGCGTCAGACTCCTGAGAAGGAACCCGGACATCTTAGGTAAGCAAATCGACTGTTCCCTCACTCTTAATTTTTACTTAAAAAATTGCATGAAAAGAAGAAAAAATAGTTACTAGAAGTTTTTTTTAAATGGCTAAATACCTTTTTAAAATAACCATTTTTATACTCACTTGTTTCAAATTTGGGGGAAATACCTTGTATTGCTGTTGGAATGTGTCTGTATGAGTACATGCAGTCACTGCTCATGAAGTTGCGTGCAGCTGATCGTCTCTTGGAGTTGATGCATCTAGAATGTTAGGCGGTTAGGACTGTTAGTAGTTGTAACTGATGTTAATATCTTGTAACTGCTTGCATGTATGAACACTATATAAAGGTTGTAAAGGAAGAGTTAAATGAATGAAAGAGAAAGCATTATGGTTCTTGAATCTTGTTGTTAATGTAGCTGCCATAAACGTTTCAATATGGTATCATTCGCTACTGTATCCTAGGAGTCGTTTCCGCTGTTCGTGCTGTTATGGATAAGAGTGACTCTTCCACATCCACTTCAATGGAGTTTTCCTCCCGAAACACCAAAGTTTTCAGATGAATCAAACTTCCTTCTTTGGAAATAACAAGTGTTACTCATCGTACGGAGTCATCGTCTTGAGTGGATGCTGATAGGAACGATGCTACCTCCTCCAGAAATAGTGGTTGGCGAAGAAGGAGCTGCAGTCATCAATGAAGAGTACGAAGAATTTTTGGCCCAAGATAGCGCGTTAGCTTCTTGATTGCTATCAACAATCATTCCTCATTTACTCCCACAATTTGTTGGTGTTGAAACGTCAGCGTAGGTATGGAATAAAGTCTTGCAATTCATTGTAAACCGATCTGCCACTGTTGTAACGAGTCTACATTACAAGTTGCAGTCCCTCAAGAAAGGAGGAGACATCATGAGGGCTTATCTTACCAACGTGAAAGAAGTCACTGATGCACTAACTTTCCGTGGCAGTCCAGTTTCAGTGTCTGAACATATTGCTAGCATCCTTAAAGGTCTTACAAGGGATTTCAACCCTTCATTGCAGTCATATCTGCCATGAGTGACTCGTTGTCACTTGACAACATCTACACCATGCTCATTGATGTTGAAACACAGCTTGAGGGCTTCGATTATCAGCCAGAGTCTTTACCTATTAGTGCTAATCTTGCACAAGGGAAGATGGAAACTGATTCTAACAATAATCGTGGGAAGCAACAGTATAGAGCCAATAATTCATCCTACTCGCGAGGGAGGTCTCGTGGCAGAGGTAGAGCTCGACCCAAAGTTCAGTGCAAACTATATGGCAAAAATGGGCATCTTGTCAGTAAATGCTAGCATAGGTTTGATGAGGATTTTACTGGTATCACACTTGATGATCACATCTTTGGGTCCGAAAGTTCTAAAGCATAATATGCTGTTAATGGAGCTAGTGACAGTGCATGTGGTTGCTGCAGTCACGACAACTGCAGTCACGACAACACATATCATGAAGGCAACAGAAGTGCTGGGCAAAATCAAGTACATTCTAGTTCTGCTGGTTAAGAATAGTGGGTGATTGACTCTGGTGCAACAACACCACGTTACATCCAATGCAGCGTCAATTACCTCACACTCAAATTGCAACAATCCTGGTAAGTTAATGGTTGGAAATGGTGATTATTTGACTGTTTGTAAAGTTGGCAAGGTTGAATTACAAGCTTCATCGCGCACTTTATCTTTAAGTGACATTATTCATGTTCCCTCCATTACTAAGAATCTACTTTCTGTTTCCAAGCTTGCTAGGGATAACATGTGATTCTTGAATTTTATGCTAAAACCTGTTGTGTTAGAGATGAAGACACAAAGGTTATGTTGCTGCGAGGCATAGAATGTGATGGCTTATACTCTTTCAAAGCTGGCATCACTCAAAGAAGAAATGATGTAGCTAAATTCCATACTACCATAGCATCCTCCAAGACATCTGAAACTTGGCATAAAAGGATGAGACATCTTGGTTATGATACATTGTTAAAATTTGTAAACAAATGGATGTAAAAGCTCTTCATGATATTAATAAAAATTATGTAGCTTGTCATTTAGGTAAAAGTCACAAGTTTCCTTTCCCTCGATCTAATAGTTTTTATATAGAACCATTTCAACTTGTCTACTCGGACCTATGGGGACCTCCACATGTGTCCTCGAATGGTTTTCAATTCTATGTATCGTTTGTTGATGCGACCACACAATTTACATGGTTGTACTTGTTAAAAACAAAGGCTAAAGTTGTAATAGTGTTTAGGCTGTTTCAAAAGTTAGTTGCTACGCAGTTCGATGGGGTAGATAAAGCTCTTCAAATTGATTGGGGAGAAGAGTTTCGACCGGTGATATATGAACTAAGCAAGGCTGGTGTTCTTCATCGTCTTACATGTCCCCATGCATCTGAACAAAATGGTGTAGTTGAGCGAAAGCATAGGCATCTTGTTGAAATGTCCCTAGTCCTACTTGCTCATGCGTCTATGCCTATTAAATTTTGGTCATATGCTATTTAGACCACAGTGCACTTGGTTAACAGGTTGTCATCAAGAGTTTTCCATGACAAGTC